AACTACGCCAATATCCGTCTTGCCATGGAATGACAGCTATAAAACAAATCAAATTCTATCAAACAGTATTTATTTATAACAGTGAATTCAACATAAAGAAAGACCAAATTACTGAAAACGGTTTCCTAATAATTATAACACTTTACAATAAATGGTCGAATAAGTCATCATTAACTGCAATACGGAAACCAAGTCGTTCATAAAAGCCATTTCGAACTGCTGCTAATTGATAACTGGATATCTTTTTGTTTTAGAAAATTCCATGGCATCGCAGATTATTGAAAAAGATGTTGGTTTTATTTTCCCAATTTTCGGTCTTTATTATGCAAAAAATTGAAAACTAATACGGTTGATTGACGTAAAAAATTTTTTCCTACAAAAAACCTTAATACATTTTTGCTCTAAAATAATTTGAGGAGCCAATAATCGCATGTTATGTATTTTACATTGAAATCCCTATGATGCGTTACGCAAGTCACCACCCTGTATATGTTAACTGTGCAAAGTTTCAACCGAATAGGTTCAAGGTTTGGCAGGGGCAGAGAAGCGAGGTCCCACGGGGTCATTGGATTTGACCCATTTTCAATAGGCTTATTACATGTGGTCCAAGTGTTGGACAGTTATCGTGTTCACGGACAGACGGACAGACCGACACCATCGACTCCCCTATAAAGCTTGCATCGCTTTGCACACAATACATTCTTGGTTACATTGTGCTACGGTTGGCTGTCAATTTCAAAACACAGATTTACGGCATAGCATAATACACGTACCTACACATAACCATTAAATAAAAATTTTATTCAATGACATAACACAACAATAACACAATATCATTTACCATTACATAATTTTTCATAATATACCGTTTAATTCTATAATTTCAACGAGGCGTAGATAATTGAAATGTATAGAGTGGTTACCGATTGATCAGAATTTAGCGTATGCCCTCCCCCAAGAACTCCCGTCACAGAGGAATACGATATTTGCCACCTATCGGGGCAACATTAAGAACGAATATTTCGGAGGTGAAGCAGAGTAATTGTCAATCACAATCTTATTTAATTTTGATCTTTGTTAGTATTCACCATCTAAGAAAACCTATCTGCAAGGTAACATACAGTGTTCTTTTAAAAAATGCTGAAGTAAGAGAGACACACGGTCTTTTAAAAAAAGCATCTGTTGTGTTTGTTTATCAAACAAAAAAAGAAGATTTTCTATGAATTTTCAATTTTAGTTCAATGAGTTATTGGAATAGGTTGCTCTTATTCGTCGGCTATGGTTCATAGATAAAAATACACCCAATAACGGTTGTAAATTCTTACATGTATTGATACATCAGAAAATAATGGTTAAATTGAGTACCTATTTTACAATTACATGCTTTATGCTCTATTTAAGTAGGACAATTTAGAAATATTCAAATTATTTAATAGGCTATACATCAAAACTGTTACATAACTGATGATATTATTCTATAAATTTTTACCATTTTAGGTTCCACTTTTCGCTATTATTTAAATTAAGAAAGAATGATTTGATTTGTAGAATTTGATGGCCAATAATTAGAATTATTTCTTCACTGGCATTTGCATAAATAAACTTTTATACCAACTGAGCATCGTTGACTGAAACCCCATTAACCCAAGAGAAACGACTAAATAAAACAGAATAAATTATATAAAATGACATCTTGTGTAAATTTGCATCGCATTAGTATGTACCAGTAGATTCCATGTCAAAATATTACTCAAAGTTTGATCTAACTACCATCGAAAGCCGAAATGAAACATAAATAATCGAGGTTTAGGCGGGTATAATTTCTAAAGAATTGATAACCAAACGTTTACATTGTCACCGGAATGCCTTATGTTCCACCCTAATTCTAATTTACTCGCCACGTACCCGTATAAACCGTAAATCTGCTTACAATCGATATTCTCTCGTACCCTATATTGGGCACACTACTCCTTTGTAATATAAAATTTTAACCATGAGCCATATATATTTGTGAATTATTTTTAATTCCTAAGAAATATTGTTACGGATTAAGGACTTTTAAAAGAAAATGTACTTATAGTATTAACTGACAGGAAATGAATTCTAAAAACCACGGTGTTTGTTTCAGATTGTGCTACTTCAACAGTCTTTCTGCTTCCTGGGGGATGTGAAAACTAAAAAATTGTTGCTTCTAGTGACATTGGCTTAACGGCGGTTTGCAAATTGAGAGTTGTTGGAAGATTGAAAAATAACCTTCTCATACAAGTTGTATTAAGGTGTGTAGAAAGACCTAATAAGATTCCCAAATTTTCTAAGGCGATTCCGTCACAGAAGTTTCCTATGAATATTTTTAAAAAAAGTTTCTGAATAAACAAGAAAGGATAACTTTCCAAGGAATTTTCTAAAAAGACAGCTAACGGGAAATAAATCTCAAATTGATTTACAAAAGATTCTTAAGGATACTGGGATGCTAAAAAAAATTTCTTCAGAGAAAATTTGGACTGAAAATATTTTTAAGAATGTGTTAATTTAATTTAAATCTGGAGGATTTCATTACGAATAAGCACGGAATTGGTTTATTTCATCGGAATTGTTATTTTAGTGTCTATTTTAGAATTGTTTTTAATTGCAAAATTTGTGTAATTTTGTTTATTTAAATTGTAAGATGTGAAACTTGCGTCATTTAAAATGAACATCTGACCTTTTTGCGATAAGGAAAGTTATCGGAAGTAAATTAATTAATTTCAAGATGCACGTGTGTTTGGCGCTGATAACAAAGGATGCAGGTGCACGATTCATTTTACGCGTAATTTATCTGTGGAAGAGGGGACACCTGAAACGTTCCATATCGGTGTTGCAGTTGAAGAGATTATAAAAATTCCGCACATGAATATTGTACAATTTCAACCATGTTTCCTAACAAAACAATACTAAAAGATCCAAAAAACTTTTTGAAGCCATTAATGCTTCAGACCCGTAAGCTGTCTCTAGGAAGGCTTCTAAACGCATTTCTAGTATTTTTAGGAAAATGTGTAATGGCATGTCCATAATTAGTCATAAATACTAGAAAGATATTGAAAAGAAGTTGTCTAAAAGGACACAAAATTCCCACAAAGATTTTTAGTGCAATCTCTAAAGTAGACTTCCTCTTAGTCTAAAAACCTAGCCTAAAATACTAATCTTCAAGAAAACTCCGAAAAAGAAGTCTTGAAGATTAGAAAGAGGTCTTGTAATGAACTTTCGAAGGCTCTTAAAAGTTCTACTAAGTATGCTCATACAACGCGAGCAAGAAATCGTTTAAAATTTTTAAAATAATAATTTTATGCTAGAAGTATTCCCAAAAATACTTCAAAAAAGATGTTTAATAGTATATTAAGATACAAGTGTATAATCAAGTCCTTAAAGCACGCGCAACGAGTTTAAGGGCACGACGCAAAGCGGAGTGCCTTTAACGTTGCAAGTGCTTTAAAGACTAATTATACACGTGTATCTTATAGTATTTTTTATTATACCTGCAGTATAATTTAAAAATAGGGAATACAATGAAGTCATATTGACGTTATACTCGAATACGTGTCTAATTAAGTGGGCTGGGTGTTCGTAATTTCACGATTGCCATGGAAATGTCACTTGACGTTTGCTTATAAAAATCATCGTCTTTGTGAATTAAACGATTTCCGTTGAAAAAGATAATACACCGCCCATTAAATCGATTGTTGTAAAATCTAAACAAACGTTGGTAGGTGTAAAATCCAACTCCAGTAAAGCCTATTATAAAGAATATGAAAAGTTGTTTCCATGGATGAATAGGAAGTTACTTACGAATACAGTCTTAAATGCATCCATAATGCTGGCATATATGAAGGAAATGTCAAAGGTATTTAAATCTTCTATATTTTGGTGCATTCATTCAAAACTTTAAAGCAATGCTGCGATTAAAAAGTGGAACAGATTTGGAAGCATACCCTAAATTACGCGCGTTTGTGAAAGCTTCAACCAAAGGATAGGTACAAAAGCCAAAGAAATGTTCTGCATTTACAGAAAGCGACCTAAGAGGATTTTTTATTTCATCAGATGATAGTTTCAAAAGTCATACTTGAAGTATCGTTACTTAGCAACTTTAAAGCACGTGTGTTTTAAAGGCCCTTTTTCGCACGCATTTGAGTGTTTAAAACGGAGATTGTGATTCAGGTATAATAAAAAAAGACTTCTTAGATCCAAAGAATATTCCTAAGAGGGTTTCTAACAGAAAAATTTTAGGTAGTAAAATTATGTAAATTTTCTGGAATACCGTCGAAGGTGATTTGTAGGAAGATTCTAAGAAGTTAGCTTTGAAGTACGATTACAATGGTTTTTAGGTGGTTTATTCTAGGAATATTTTTCAAAACAGTTTTTTAGACAAAACGCTTTTAAATGGGGTTTTTATAAAGAAGAGAATTCCAAGGTTTCCAACATTTTTAGTGAAGCAAAAATGATTCCTAGGTGACTTTTACGAATGCTAGTCATTTATTAACAAAGTGTGCATCATATGAATTTCTAGCAGTGTTTAGAGGATTTTTACCCCAACGATGACTTTGCATGAATTCCTACGGAAATTACTAAGACGTTCTTCGAAAGGACTTACACGACATATTTAGGGTTTCTAAGGAGATTCTTAATAATATATCTAAGATCTTTAATGAGGATTTCTAGAATCTAAGACGAAGTATCTATGATTTTAAAAAGATTCTTTAGAACAGAATTTTTAGTATAGTTTCGAAAACGGTTTTGAACGTTCTTTCCATGATAATTCTGAAAATTGTTCATAAAAGTGTTCCTAAAATGATAAAAAAATCACTAGTAAAGTTTCTAAAAGGGATTTTAAAATTGGTAATTAAATCTTATGCTAGATGTACAAGAAAATTTGTTAAAAAACATTCTCCTGAGAATGTAACAGGGATGCTCCATGTGGCCCTCTAGTAATATGTATAAGGAATCTTCTAAAAATTTTATTGCATTACCTTTTATTACTTTCGCCATCACAAAAACTCGTTATTCTAACCCATTTCAATAAATTTGCAGTTTTGCGTCTCTATACACCAAAGCACTTATAATGGTAAAAGACCTTGTTCATATCTAAATCTAGGAAAATTCCGATTTTTTTGTCTATCTAAACATTAAACTTCACATTCTTCTGAAATGATCACACGTATTTTTCCTTCCATGCACTATTGTGTACACAACACAATCACTACTGAGATATAAATAGGATGTCCCCGTAGCATTAAGGTAATTTTCATATAAAAAGCAGCAAAATAAGCTTTTAATTATTTTTATTTATGACAATATCCTTTTTATTTTTAAATGAGCAGAATTTCAGATGAGGTCGTTCCAACAGTCATCCACATCTGCACCTTGATACCTTGGAAACTGCCTAATATTCTCGTAGGTTAACAGGACTTCGTAGAAAGCTGCCTTGCACAGATTTCGCAACTATTAATGGTGATCTTACATTCTAATATGCTTACAAAAACGGCACAATACAGTTAGTACAGTTAGTGGAGATTGTTATTATAATATAACACAGATAACACAGATATTTGCACAATCAAGTAAATGCGATATTTCAAGTTTTTTAAGTTCAAGATTAATTATTAGGATATCCTTGAAGGAACCGCTACTTTGTGTATATGTTAGAGTACGATAGTCTCATTTTTACAACACAACTTCCAGAAATAGTAACTGTGATTAAAAATGCGCATTGTGACCGAAAAAGGGTGCCGTATGATTTTAATCCTAAGAAGTGCCATCCATACTATACGACACGATACGATTGCTGCAAATCAATAATTAATGTATAATATACCATAAATATGTTTTATGATGCTCCTTCTCTCTAATTTTATTTATAGTAATAATCAGTTCGCATTTGCACTTGCCCCAGCAGCCGGGGTAAGTGTACTTCGCTATTATCTGAGCATTCTACACATTTCTTAACATATTGGATATTTTAAAAATGAAATATTTCTAACCAGTTCTGGACAAATGGCGACTTAAAAATGGAATACCTAATAGCGATGAAATTAAAAAAAAAACAAATATACGTTCTCTTTTTAACGAACTTTAACTTTATTTTTTTAATTATATTTACATGTTATCGGACGTTGTACCCATTGAAAATAACACTAAAAACTACTTCATCTCTTCTGCCAAACGATGGTGTTGGCAGAAAAATTACAACGTCCTCTTTTCGAATCTCGTCTCTTCTACCATCAGTAGAGTTATGAATGCAGAAACTTTAGGATTTTTATTTTTTATGTTTGGGCGTAAAAATTTTACTGTAACAGTATCTTCTTTTACATAGTCTCTTGTCCGACGTAATGCAACACTGAATTTTTGGTCGAATATTTGTCAAGAACCCACTTCTTTAGTTCTACATTCTCTTGGATACATGGGTACCCGTCGTGGCGGACTAGTCTTTCGATATCATTTAAAATTATGGTTGACATATCTCCATCTCCCATTATAACTGATCTCCTCCTCGATATCTTCCTCACTAGAACCCGCACTTTTCTTTCTCTTCGGCCCTCCTCAGTATTGGACCTTGTCGCGGTCGTGGGGCCTGAGGCTTGAGCTATGGAGCAATTGTCTGTTGGCCTAGAATCCGACTCTTCACACCCGTAGCAAAACTTGCGCGCCTTGCTTGCACGGGTGCGATGCAAACAACTCCCTTCGGAGTCTGCTTCCAGTAGATCTTCACGTGAGAGAGCAGACCACTCTGGCATTATCCTTGTGCTGAAAAATAAGGGTTTGTTGCATAGCAGAGGTACTGAGGTTGGCAATTCTGAGCGAGGCGATTGTCTATCCTAGAATAGCGATGGGACTCACTCACTCCTGAATTCATATTAGGGAACAACTACCGCATCTTTAAATATCAATTGAAGTTTGCTGATAAAAATCAATCCGTATTTGTAAATAAAATGACTTCGTTTACACCGCCCATTCGACGCTTATGGCAGAAGCAGAAGCACCGGCGAAATCCAAATGCAAAAGCCTGTTCTAGAATAAGAGAAGTTGTTGGCGTGAATGAGTAGGAAGAATCTTTCAAACAAAGTCTTAAATACTTCGATAATGCTGGCATATATGAAGGAAATGTCAAAGGCATCTAAATCTTCTACCGTTTGGTGAATTCAGTCAAAACATCAAACAATGCCGTGATTAAAAGATGGAACAGATTTGGCAGCATGCCCAAAATCGCGAGCTTCTAACAAAAGTTACGAGTCAAAGGCATCTTTTGCACTTGCAAAACGCGACTTCAGTTCAAAGGATAATTTAGGTAAATAAAGTGGCATTGGGTCTATTATCACGTACTCAAATTTCTTAGAGAAGATATGTACGTAATATAATCTAAGGTTTTATTCGCTGGCATTAAAAAATAATTATAAAAAAACCTTGAAAATTGAATTGAATATATTACTTGTTTGGCTTATTTATGAGTGTGATATTTGAAAAAAGTGTACGAAGGTTCTGCTATTGTTTTATATGAAAATGTAAACTATTATTATTAATTGAACACACACTTCGAATTATTTTTATACTCGCCAGTCGCCAAATCGTTCCAGATTGCAACTCAATGTCACAAGGCAGAAGATACAGTGGACATATTTTCCATATCACGGCCGTATTGTAGATTTTTTGTTAATTATTATTTACATTTGCATAAAAATTTATTTAAATACATCGCAATAACGACGTGATTCGTCACACCGTAGCGACGTCATCTTTAACACATCAGTCATTAATTCGGTAATTTCGGTAATTAAAACATACCCATATAACTACTTAAACAAAAAATTTGAATACTGCAAAAATAAATTTAAATATGGCTAATTGTCTTATGTCTCTATGTCATTTATAAAGCAAACAGGTTTTTTTTCTAATTATTTAATTTTCAAAATCTAAACTATGGGAAAATAAATATTCAGCTCTGTGATGTATCAGTAACTTTAATCTTAACGTGCAGGTTATCTACCAAAAATAGGCAAAATAACGTTTTAACTTGCACGTTAAGATTAACGATAGTTATACAATGTACAACCTGCTAGGGTACCCGTTGTTAATCTAGTATTACACAGAGGTCTAATAAAGGTTTATTGAACACCAAGCCCAGGCAAAACATTTTCTACAAAAATATTTCTCAGTTCCGTACATATATAAGACCCGTTCTCATAAATAGCAGGGCTAAAGGAGTCATTATTCTCGGGAATACAGAAAATTCCGTATGTGGGATTTGTCGCTCCAAGGGGAAATAGACCTAACAAAGCGATAAGATTTGTGTGGTATTAAACCTATTAGTAGCATGTATTTCTGTAGATCAGAAAGCGCCCTATCGAAAGTGATTGATGAACTGTTCTACTATTACGTTCGATAGCATTTCTATTCGTAGTTTCTGTTAGCGTTTAGCCAAATGGCGTCTTCCATTTGTTGTATAGGTGAAATAATGAACGCACTTTCAACTTATTAGTAATTTCAATTAAATAAGATAAGATGTGCTAGTGGATATGCATGTTTAAACATTTAACACATAACACTTTCGTGACTAAGTTGTCACACCCAAACAGCTGAAGAATATTTTTGGCGCCAAACTTCACAAATTGTCAGTCATTGACATGATTGAAAAAAATTAAAGGGAAAATGATAGGTACTGATGATTTAAAAAAAAGCTCATGTGTAAAATGTGTCGAAGAATTTTACACGAAAAACAATTAAATTACTGTGCACACTGCACAAACTACTAAAATTGAAAGCGTAATGCAGTTTATCCGTAAATATTTATAACTTTAATTACAGGTTAATTAAACCTAATGCAGCTTCCGCCTCCGCTATAATATAATTTTAACGTTCCTGCAGCGTTGAACTTAATATACCTGACGAAATTAGATTATTATTGCATGTTTTACCGTTGGGGATTATTCCATCCTATCGCCGAAATTACTTCGAAAATGTGGGTATTTCGAAACGTAAGTTCGTCAACATATGAAAGTTTGTCTTTTGCACCTGCGTCCAACATGAATTCGTTTATCAATACATTTCCAAAACTTTGGTTTAAGAGACGCTGATTGATGATACACTCTCCTCTAAATAGGCTTTTCAAATACGTATTCTGGAAATTTGTAACTTACAGCAAAAAATGAAAACTAAGCTGCAAATGTAGGTATAGGTGTTTAAGTAAGCAAGGCACGTTTATGCTACAAGCGAATCTTAGCAAGAGGGCCCAACAATAAATGATGTTAAGATGTCGACGTGTGAAGCTTTTACAAATACTCCTGTGGAAGAGGGGTCTACCATTTGAGAGGGGTTCCGTCTGTAAAACTCATAAATTGCATAAGCGCACAGACAATTACGCGATGTGTGTTTTAAGGACGAACGCTCTTGAATTCCAGAATAAGGCAATAAAAATCGGGAGTTTACTGAATGCGGACTTGATTTAATCCATCTACCTATACGTACACGTAGCTTACTTTGGTGTGCACGAAGTTCCTCATATATCATTGTCAATGCAATCCTTTTTATTAAATTCTATTTCTCTGCACTACTATATTTATATTTTTCAGTAGATTTATGAATTTTAACTCGGAATTACATGGCACAAGATCATTTTTGTATTATATATCAATATCGTTATTCTTTAGACACTCTCTTTGTTGCTATTTTATTGCAAAGCTTGTGACGTCTATTAATTTCTCGATAAACTGTTCATGAGATTAAATTAAACATGACCGAAAAACTAATTTTGAATTAAGTATACAGGTTTCTAACAAAGATGAAGTTTTTAAGAAAAAAACTTTTGCTTAAGGGAAAGAAAAACTTATTATATTTTCAGTAACGAATTCAGGAAATTAATTACATTATAACCTGATCTAATATTTCCAAAATTGAGAACAAATTTACATTAAAATATTATTTTAGCGCATGGAAGGTTACCAATACTTAATACAAGCAAATTACGTGGAGCTTCTACAGCTACAATTTTTCCGCCAATTTAATTTTTTTCATTCACAGTTGAAACAGATGCCTCTATAAACATTCAATTGCTGCCACACTTTCCCAAAACTCGAGAGCAGTGCCTTCAATTCCAGAAAATGTTATTGAGAAGGAAACCTACGTCATTGTTGAGTTGCTGAGGAAATGGCGACACTTCCTCATTGGCAAACCTTTAAAAT